TCTTGCGAATGTCTAAAGGGATGCTGTTCCATAGTTTTGCTCCATTGGCTTGGAAAGTTCGCCCCCCTTCAGTTTCTCTGTTGTAGGAGGGGCACACTAAGTTATTTTTTTCCATAGCGACTGGTCTTGGTGTGTCGGTCTGAGTTTCTCATTAAAAGTTCTGTTATATAGCTCGGACAATGATTTTCATCTTTGATGCGCCAAAATATTAAACTAGTCCTTTTAAGGTTTAATTCTTCCTTAAGTGGCAGCCAATCAAGTCGTCTGAAAAGCATCTCGCTTCTTTCACCGATATCCGCATCCAAGATTACTCGAGCTGCTCTCCTTTGCAGCTTGGATACGCGGATAACGTTCTCTTCTGACGCAGTGCACCATGTACATGAGCCATACAACATTTAAAAATTGTTTAATTACCAACTTCTTCCAGGAAGTATTCCAAAATTGGCATTGACACAACGAGAAATTCGTGACATCTAATCGATTGTAACTTACTCAAGACTAGGGAAGTCACTTAGCTTTGACCCTGTCAGTACACTATGCATAGAAATATTCTGAACTTACATGCAGCAACTTGCAAATGGTTCCAGTACTGACTATGTAGTCCATCTAATAATAGGCGGTTAANGGAGAGGAACTTCTTCCATATTCTGCACTCAGCACAACGTCCACCATGTGCGAAATGAGATATGGAGATCAACCCAGAATCGTGGTCCACTTTAAGGACAAGGATCCAATAACAGGGCTTCCATCTATGGAGTTCCCTCTAAAGGCTGCATCCTCTGAGCAAAGTTATCTTCTGCAGATCTCTGCTTATGTTCACGTGATCAGTGATCGAGAAAAAGGTTCAATCTACAAAAAAATTGAACTCTTTTGGCCTCACCAACTTTTAAAGGTATTTATTACCAATGTGACAGTTCATTAGTCTTTTCTCGTCCGCTATGTATGTTTGTATAGTTATAAATGTAAAACAAAGTATGTCAAGGACGGTAAAAATAAAGCAAACAGGTTCGATGGAACCCTTGTGCTCCACTCATCCCATCAGCAGCTGAGCCACGTCAGCAAATTCACAGGACTATTAGTATATGTAATAGGACTCCATGCTGTCCAATTTGAAAACAGTTGGACAGATGAACGTCTTCAAGCTCGTCTTCGTTAATCTCCTCAAGCTTTCTAACTTCGCTTCGCTCAGCACGCCACAAGTCAAACACTTGAACCTAGGTTTTTGTGCTTCTTTTAGTGTTCTTAGCTGAAGACTCCATTTGAAAGTTTGAGACGTCAAAAAGGTGGAGAGAAAAGTCGGGAAATTCCGCCATTATCAAAACATAGTAAAAGTTAGCGAGCTATAATAGCTGGCTGACGTTTGATGGCAGTGGTAATAGCTGCAGTCTGATTGGCCGATACTCGGTTCTTTTATTTATCATTTGATTGGTTGATGGGAGGTATCCAGATGTTTCTCAAATTTGACATTTTGTTCAAAGCTAAACTAAACGTTCGAGCAAAAACTATCCAATTTATTTTAAATTTGGATAGCTGGCAAAAATTAATAAAAATTAGATCTGTTGGCAATATCGGATTTTGATGCAGCTATATAATTTAAAATGTTATATCTTCCAAATGAGTCGCTTATAATAAATATACATAGAAACGTTGAAAGAATTCTAAGTACAGTTCTTTATAATCTGCACATTTTGTTGATTATCTCGTATACCACCTTGCTTCGTGATAATAATCACCGCAAAAATGGCAGCCCACGTTTCAACTCCCTTTCTTTCAGAAAGGCGTGGTTATAATTGACAGTCCTGGTATTGGTGAGTCCAACATCACGGACGAGATAGTCATGCAGTATTTACCAGAAGCCTTTGCCTTCATTTATGTCATGAACAGTGCAAACGCTGGAGTATTTCAGAAAGGCAAAGTATGTATTGTCGTTGGATGAAAGTAGTGAAATTACTGAGTATTTGTAGTAATGCTATGTCTTCCTCGAATCGGCACATACGGATCGCAGGGTTTCAGAACTAGTGCCTCATGGATGGGTTCCAATGCAAGACCCGTCCGGGCTCTAGAACGAGGGGAGCCCCGGACGTCAGGCTCGAACCCAAAAGTTTCAGAAACCCAGGTTTCTACTGTATTCTTAGCGGTTCCCTTGATACCTAAAAGTCACCTAGTAATATTTATAGACTTAAGGCTGCAGCACAGTATTTTGCAAGAATTCATACTTGCATTATAGTTATATATGTGTTTAAGATACCCACAGGCATGTTAAGTCATGTTACTTTTGATTTGCAATTGTAGCTTGAAAAGCTGCTGGATGACGTGAGGAAGATGTCTTTCGAGGGACAGAAAGAATCAGTCTCATCCCAGTGTGCTTTGTTCGTGTGCAACAAATGGGACCAAGTTCCAGAGAAAGAAGTAAAAGAGGTCCAGCTTCATGTGATCAAGAAGCTGAAGAAGTGTTGGCCGGGTTTTGATACCAAGTCACAGATAATCTATATGTCAACAAAAAACGCCAGTATCGCTCAGAACTACGGAATTATTACTGAAGATTTTTTTTCCCTGATGAATGGCATGAGGTCGATGGTTTTGAAAAGCATTGAAGCGCGGCTGGAAATGCACAGGAAGTAAGCATTTTAGCATTTATTGTTAAGTTCTCAATTTTAAAAGCTAACATAATAAATTACTAGAATATATAATTATGATATATTATATAATGAATCATCCAGGTCCTTTAGAAATGTCCATCATGTATGTTTACAAAATGAAACTCAAAGTAAAGACCATTCGCGTTCCCTTCTTAACATATAAAGTTTGACCAAAAACATTTTGTAGACATCCTCTCTTGATAAATAATTAGCAATTAGCAAGGTGTAGTGCGATTTAGCTGGAAAACGTACCAAGACTGTTAAATTTTTGTTTACGTTTTTGTTAACATAGGTTTGTATTGTGATATAATTTAAATAACATTTTTCTCCTGCTTTTACTTAGTTTTTAAACAAACAGGAGTATGTTTACAACTTTTAAAATACTTCGATTACATCATTCTTGGTACGATTTCAAATCAGAAATTAAAGCTTTCTGATGATACGCAACCAACTTTAACGAACGCACAGGGTGGTTAAGGTATTTATTTATTTTATTATTTTTTTTTTTTTTGCAAGATTCTGGCTCTTTTACAGCTTTCAGTCCTATCTCGGCATTTGACCAAAATGATCGGTTGGACGGAACTTAATAGATATGTTGTGGTTAAAAGGAAACGTAAGATATTTCAAAAAAGTGAAGTCGATCGCGAACTAATTTATGGGTGGTCCATCTTAGCGTCATTGTTGCAAACTGATGCAGTCGCTCGGACAACAAGCGAGATTACTCCGTTATAACATATGACAATGAAACACTCTTCTGAAACTTTAACTTGCATACATTTGTATGTTTGATTGATAAAAGATGTGCATTTAAATAATAGACTTTTTGTTATTATTTTATCGTAGATGGCTGGATTACTTTCTCTCTCGGATAGTTTATCAAGCAAAAGCTTTTGTGATGATCGCCTCCAGGGACCAGGACGAAGTCGCCCGCAAATTGGCTTTGATTATCATTCGTTTGATGCGAATTGAAGGAAAACAAACCGAAGTCATGGACGAGCTTCATAACTACTTGAAGGCTCGTGTCAGAGGTGCTGTCCAGGAGCTCGGCGAGTATCTTAAGTCAGACGATGTCAGAGCTCGCTTCACCTCGTGGGCCTTAAACGAGGTTCCAAAGGCAGAGAGCTCCTGGGAAGTGACTAAAAGCAACATCACGAAAGCGTTAAACAATCGGCTGC